GACCATTAGTGATATAGTGTTTGCTTAGTGTTGAGAGAAAGCAGATGAGGGGGGGGGCGGAAGGAGGAAGGGACAAAGAGGGAGAGAAGGAGGGGAAGGAGAGTGGGGGGAGAGGAGATAGATATGTATATATTATACTTTCACACACCGCACATACCACACACGCACACACACACACACATATGTATTTATATATAAGGAGAGAGAGAGAGAGGAGAGAGAGAGAGAGAGAGAGAGAGAGAGAGAGAGAGGAGAGAGAGAGAGAGAAGAGAGAGAGAGAGAGAGAGAGAAAGAGAGAAAAGAGAAAAGAGAAAAGAAGAGAAGAGAAAAGAGAAAGAGAGAAAGAGAAAGAAAGAGAAAGAAAGAAAGAGATTTCCGATAGGTAGGAAGATCTTAGGGGAGACAACGGGACTGGTGAATGACTAAAGAGCTTCAGAAATTGGAAATCTGTTGTGAGTCAGCGAGGAATGATTTAGACGATGGCCGAAGCAGATAGGAGACAGGCAGGCAGACAGACTGATAGAGATAGATAGATAGGTAGACCGAAAACGAGACAGATAGACAGACAGTTGAATATCTATATATATGGTGATAGAGGGAGGAGAGGGAGAGGGGAGAGGGAGAGGGAGAGGGGAGAGGAGAGGGAGGGAGAGGGAGAGAGAGAAGAGAGAGAGAGAGAGAGAGGAGAGAGAGAGAGAGAGAGAGAGAGAGAGAGAGAGAGAGAGAGAGAGAGAGAGAGAGAGAGAGACAGAAACAGACAGACAGAGACAAACAAGACAGACAAACCAAACAGACAAACAAGACAACAAACAGACAGACACATACAGAGATAGAGAAAAGCAAGAAAGGAAGAAAGAAAGAGACAGACAAGTAAAAAAAAAAAAAAAAAAAAGAAAAACAAGATGACACTCAAAACGGTCACGCAAACAGACCTTAAGTCGACCAAAACACACGCGAGGATTCCTAAGATGAAGCTATGCGAGGCTTCTGGCGGGAGGGCACAGAAGGGCGACCGAGGGGGGGGGGAGGGAGGAGGGAGAGGAGGAGGGGAAAGGGAAGAGAAGGAAGAGAAGGGGGAAGATTGAGGGAGGGTCTGAGGGAGGAAGAGGGAGAAAAAGAAAGGGAAGGGGGAGGGAGGGATGGAGAGGAAAGAGAAAGGAAGAGAGAGAGAGAGAGAGAGAGAGAGAGAGGAGAGAGAGAGAGAGAGAGAGAGAGAGAGAGAGAGAGAGAGAGAGAGAGAGAGAGAGAGAGAGAAAGAAAGAAAAAAAGAAGAAAGAGAACAGACAGAAAGAGAGAAAGAGAAAGAGACAGAGGGGCAGGGAGACCCACTCCCGTCGGCGACCATCAAGACGTGTGATGGACCGCCGCTGAGAGAAAAGAAGTCCGAAAGACCGACAAAAATGCGCCTTTCATCTTCATATTACTAGTCAAGACACGAAGAAAATGTTGGATCTTGAAGGGAACTTTCGAGGAAGAAAAAGTTCAGTCGGAGGGGAACGTGCATGCGAAGAAACACATACGCGAGATCTTCCTGTCGAGTAGACGCACAGAGATCGATATAAAGTTTTGCTTGCTTTGGTCTCGTGTTTTTTTGTTGTTTGCCTCTGTCTGTCTCTCCCTCTCTTTCTCTCTCTTATCTAGCTATCTTTCTATCTCTTGCTTCTCTCTCTCTCCTCTCTCTCTCTCTCTCTCTCTCTCTCTCTCTCTCTCTCTCTCTTCTCTTCTCTCTCTCTCTCTCTCTCCTCTCTTCTCTCTTCTCGTCTTTCTCCCTTTCTTCATTTTTACTTCGTTCCTGTCCTTCTTCCTCTCGCTTTCTTCTCTCACTGCCTTTTATTACCTCTCATTTCAGGACACCATCCGCAAAAAAGCTTATAATACAATAATTCAAGTTCTCTCAATGATTTATGTATTCTAATGATCTATATATTGTATGTATGATTCGTACTGAAATGTCAGAGTAATGTATGTATTTAAACCAAGCTTTATATTAATACTAAATATATAGTATCAATATACAACAAAATAAACTTAATATATATAATATACAATATAATAAATAAACATATAAAACTATATAATATACGATAAATAAGTATAGAAACAAAAAATATATAATAAATATAATATAATAATCTATAATATGACAAATAATATATATAATATATATATATAATATTTATATGATAACACATACAATTAATAATATAAACATACACTAACACAATATAATATAAAATTATATATATATAATAACATATATCCCATAAGCATATATACCTATATGGTACTTCTATCATATGTCTCTCTATTACTATATACTACTATCTCACAACCTCCCCTAATTACAGCTATAATATATTCTACTCCCAGAACTAATCCTATGCGCCCCTAACAATTACTACCTACCTATATCACTCATATTACCCCTCTACTCTAATATACAACCATACTACCCCCTACCTCCCCCCTCTCCCGCTATTATATATCGTGTCGTGGCCCCCCCCCCTCGTGTGTGTCGTCGTGTGTGTCCCCCCCGTCCCTCCCGCTGGTGCTGCTCTCGTGTGTGTCTGTATCGTGTGGTGTGTGTGTACTATACAAACATTAATAAAATAATAACTCATATTAAAAAGCAAAATGAGCCCCCAATATTATATATATAACATAAAAATTAATATATAATATATATATATTTGGTGTGTGTGTGTGTGTGATAGTGTGTCGTGGTGTGGTGTGTGTGTGATGTGAAGTGTGTGTGTGTCATAAATAATATAAACATATTAATAATAATAATATATATCTAATATACTCCCATACTAATATATACACACCGAACGACCAAAACTCCTCTCAAAAGCAAAAAAAAAAAAAAAAAAAAATATAATAATATATATATATATGATTGTGTGTGTGTGTGGAGATGTGAAAAAGAAAATGAGTGATTTGTGTGAGATAATAACTATAATAATGAGAAGATAATTTATATATAATATATATATATATAAAAAGATGTAAATAGATAACGATAGATGAAATACATAATAAAGTTAACTAATTATAATTGAGTGTGTGAGGAAAATGTGTGTGTGTGTGATGTTGTGTGATGTGTGTGTGATAATATATTAATATATAAATTAATAATAAATATATAAATATATATATATATGTGTATGTGGTGTGTGTTGTGTGTGTGTGTGTGTGATGTGTGTGTGTGTGGTGTTGTGTGTGTGTGTGTGTAGTGGTTGTGTGTGTGTGTTATATATTATTGTGTAGGTATAGATATATATAATTATAATAATATATAATATACATTATATCATAATATATATATATAATATATAACTATATTATTATATGAAATATCATACAGGATAGATATAATATATTATCAAG